AGAGAATGAGAGAGAGAGAGAGAGAGAGAGAGAGAGAGAGAGAGAGAGAGAGAGAGAGAGAGAGAGAGATTTTAATTTCCGACAGAGTCAGACAATAGTGCTTTAGTTTGGCAAATATCTAGTCAGGACCAGCCCTCCCATGAACTCACATCGTGTGGCCAGGAGGGCCCACCACTGTTGTTCCGCCACCTTCAACAGGTGTTCTCCAGCTGCTCTTTCACCACAAGATTTTCTGCAGCAAGTAACCTACCCACCATCTATCTCTAGTTCTGTTTTGCCCCTCACTCCTGCCACTGCCCCATCAGTTCTATGAAAGCCATACAGCTGGCAGTAATGGCTGTGGGGCTTTCACAAGGGCTCACTCAGGTCTCATGAGATCCAGTAAGTAGCTTCTTCTAGCTGTGCAACTGTCCATAGAGCTGATGTGATAGCAGCCAATGTAAGGGAAAGAAAGGCATGTGCAGCATGGAAAGGAGCATGTGATACAGCAGAAGAGGGAGCATGACATGCCATATCTGAGAACCAATGTGGTGTCGTGGTTAAGAGCATGGGACTGGGTCTCAGAGGATCTGGGTTCTAGTCCCCACTCAGCCATGGAGCCAACTGGGTGACTTTGGGCCAGTCACAGACTCTCAGCCCAGCCTACCTCACAGGATTGTTGTTGTGGGGATAAGATGGAGGAGGAGAATGATGTAAGCTGCCTTGAGCCCTTTGTAGGAAAAGGGCAGGATATAAATCGAAAAATAATAAAATATCTGAGGAGTATGTTGTGGTGGAGGTGGCACGTCTTCTTTCGTGCTTCTAGTGGTGAGTGAGCTTGTCCCAGGGCTGAATCCAGCACATCCTTTATCGTTTTAAATAAACTCATGAGAATCTTAGATACTACTTTTTAGATGGAAAGGACAAAGTGCCGTGTTGGTTATGCAATGGCTCAAGGTAGAAGACCTGTAAAAGACAGTGCAAGAAGCAGGCCTTGTCCTAGGCTTTGGGGAAAAACCATGCCCTCTTGACCTACACAAAGGAAACAAAAGGGCATGTTCACATGACGTGAGAAACCATGGTGAGATATTGCCATTGTGGGTCTTTTGCCATCCAAACCCAGTTCCTGAGTTGCTGTGTGGTAGCATTCTAAGGTTTCTATGCATCAATGAAGCTCTTCTGGCTGTCCAGACCCAGAATCACCATATTACCATTGTTGGTATGGAAGCACCATAGAGTCCACTGGCATGAGCAGCTGTGGAAGTGGCAACTTCTAGTCTTCAAACTCTAATGCTCTCAGCTCCTTAGCAATAGGCTCTTCATTGTTCACTTTATTCTCATTGGCCAAGTGACGTGTCCATCTTGCTGTTTCTTGAGACAGTGTAAAAAGAAACAGAGATAAAATAATGGAGAAACTATTTTCATTTAGTAAAAAACCTCTGTGGGGACTGGAATGGCTAGAAAATGCCACAAACATGCAGGTACACTTGGGACGGGGAAGTTAGGAGTCTTCCTCACTGCAGTGGACCAATCAGGAGAAGGCTGCTGCAGTCCATAGGTAAGAATAGGGAAAGAATGGGAATTTCACTAATGGAAGCTGCTGGGATGTGTAGCAAGGCTGGGAGGACAGAGTGGGAGTGTGGGTAGTGTACTCCCTGGCTCACCACATGATCGTCTGGCCAGTAAGTTTGGGTAAAAAAGAGCATGTCATGGAAACAGCACAGGATTGTTTTCCATGCCACAGGAACCCAGCCAAACAGTTCAGATTGGAAAGAAATCCCCTGTTTCCTCTTTACCAATTTCTAAATAGTGCAGAAATGTAGGGGCAACCTTCTATATGCTATTTCCACTTTCCATTATTTTTTCTGCCTGACAAGGTACAATGGAGTCTGGCCAGAAATGCTGGAGAAGAATGAATAGTTGCAGAATTAGTAGCACAGTTCTGTTGTATATTAAGGATGTTTCTATCAGTTCCTTTAAGTAAGAAGATGGAGAATAGAGTAGCTTAAATAGTTGTGTATCCCTGTTTGTCAATAATATTGTTTAACACAGGCCCACACAATTTCTGATCCACCAGGTTGAATAGAATGCATAATATGGCTGGATAGAACCATCCCCACCCACCCCTTGGATTTAAGGAAGCTGTCTGTTTTTGCTGTCTGAGATTGCCAAGACCAGGTGGTTTGGGCATGCAGCACATTGTCAGGTACCTTGCAAGCTGGTGGGCTGCTTTCAGACAGGTAGATCAAGTGATGTGCAGAAGTTGGTGTACCTGATTTAACTCATTGATTGGTTGAAAGGGAAACTTTCACGACACCTCTAGCTATATACTCCCAACACCCTCACACTTGGCTGTCTAGTATTGCAGCTGAAAGCAATAGGCACATTTAGGCATATTTAAAGTAACTGAAAGAGCAGAATAAAACCTGATCCTTTTAGTAGAGAGAGAAAAATTAAAACGGTGGGATGGCAAAATCTCATTATGCAATTTAAAAATTATAGCATCCGCTTGTTTATGCAGTTGGAACAGGAGTAGTACAAGTCACAACATGTCCTTCCCTGACCCTTTGCCTTATTTTTATCTATTCAGATGTTGCCAGAGCGATTGAACTACTGGAGAAACTGCAAGAATCTGGAGAAGTACCAGGACACAAGCTACAGTCTCTTAAAAAAGTACTGCAGAGTGAGTTTTGTACAGCTATCAGAGAGGTATGGCAATGATTATCTGGCAGTATTTATGGGGAATGGGGAGACTACAGCTTTTCATTCAAATAGAGGGCACAAGCCACTTCAGTTTCTTCACTACCATGGAAATAGGTGAACATTGCCACATGGCATTTCTGTAGGAGCCATTGGCTTGTGTCCAGAATTGCTGCTGCAATGAAAAAAAAATGAAAATTTGTAATACCACAAGAACCACATGAGGTCTAATCTCTCACCATCTGTACCCATCCAACAGGAGGTTTTCAATTGAGGTTTAAGGATACACAGCAGGCTATCATTCCGCAAGTGTCAGTGCTGCGTAATTTCTATCACATGGAATATTAGGGAGAACTTTGTGAAAAGAGCTAATTATAGGACTGTTGTTTGATTCTGGCTGCATTCCTATCATCCCAGGGACCATAGCATTTGTTGGATCTCTAGCTCTAAGAGTGAAGAGGGAGATCTGATTGTGTGAACCTTCTCCATGGACAGAGTTTCTGAAGTGCCAAGGCTCATATCAGAGAATGCAAAAGAGAAGCCTTCCAGGGCATACCAGGAAAGGCTGTGGATCCATTCTTTAACACTGCTTGAAAATAACTGTTTTAGTTGGAATTTAGCAAACATCTCAGCTTTCTTCCTTGGTTTCTTTTGGTTTATCTGCCACTCTCCTGATTGCAGTAGGAAATCTGTTACTTATTTAAGCAATAGCTAAATCAACCCTAGGGTACCCAGGCAATAGCAGTACATAGATGAAACACTGTTTTTAATTAAGGAATTTCTTTATGCCTAGAAGAAACAGCAAGCACAATGCGAAGTAGTTTAATGTGCAGTGGGTTGTATCCAATAGTATCCTTCTGCCCCTCTCCTGGACCTCTAAAATCAAATTGAGAGGACCCTTCAGAGCAGAGATGGAGAGCTTCCATGTAGCTGCAGGGTAAAGAAGGAAGGGAAGCTCTTGTTATGTTAATGTAAGTCTGGACTTAATGTTTGATTTAATCCACTTTATTTATGTTGGATTTAGCCAACATTGTTATTTTATTTTAAAGGAAATACTGTTTTTTCCCTTATCAACTATGGTACTTTCTATGCTTATCATCTTTAAGGTCTTTAATTTGATCAGTAAAAAACTTCTAATTGATGACAGGATGTATCATAGGTTTATCTTTATATCTATATATACTACTTAATGAAGATAAGCCTTGTTATCCCTGCAACATTGCTAGAAAAGTTCTCTATCACAGTTCTATTCATTTGTAAAAAGAATTCTGAATTGCAGCCAACATCTAGCCTTTGTAGCAGGTGCAAAATCCAGGAAAACAGAAAATTACTTTGAGCATGGTTCACTATTGGTTCAATGAACTAAAAGCTATCTAGTCAGACTTATAATAGCTTCAAAAGGCTCTTACGGGCTATCACACAACGCCTGCAGATTCTGCTTTCACACACACCCCATTAGGAGCAAAAACTTAAGTTCACTTTAGTAATGTAGTCCTATACATTTATACTCAGAAGTAAGCTGAGATTAATAAAGCTTATTCCCAGGTAAGTAGGTATAGAATTGAAAACTGGCAAAGCACTCATGTGGTAGAGAGAGAATCTACCTCTTTATAAGTCCTACAAAATGGGTTTGTGGGGGGTTGGTCCATTTTCTTTTCTCATCCATCTTTTTCTATATTAATGGTCCCCTCCTGCTGACCTTAAAGGGAGGGGAAATTACTACAGCAGCTCCAGTGCTGGTTTACATTTCTTCCCTTGTAAGGAGCATATCAGGGAATGAAGGCGCTTTGGATCTTTCGGAAGTTGTCTTTCAAAAATCATAAGTATCTACAGTCATTTCAGCAGTGTTGGAGAAATATGTAGAAAGCATCATATTTCTCCCAGTAATCTCATCAGGTCTGAGGACTTTGCTGCAATAAGCATTTGCTCCAATTTATCCACTGGTGGATTAATACCCCTGACCACAAATCATACCGGGAATAGCAATAATGAGCAACCTTTAAAAATCTCCCAAAACATTTTTTTGTTTAGGGGGTGAGGAATTTGGAACATTATATACAGACTTTTAATTGTAACTGTTCTCCCTCTGAACTCCCAGTACCTAACCCTGTGAGGGTTCACAGCCCCTTGCCTGGCACTCATGGCTGGCAGCTGCAATGCCACAATGTCTGAAAGGGCAACACAAAGAAAAGCCATTTTCTCTGCCTTGCTTCACTCTCCACTTTCTTCCTTTTCTCTTCTCTGAGTTGTCAAAGTGATCTTATAATAAATATGTCTCATAAAACTTGCCTTTAATAGTTAACAAGAGGAGAAATGGAAAAACCTTCTTCCATATGCTCACTATTAACACTTTTCTCAAACTATTTTATGTCTTGTGTTTTGTCAAATGAATGGGCTATTACTATTCCTAGAACAGCCGCATAAGTAGTTCGGCTGTCTGAATCTACCCAAACTAGCTTCACATTTCCAGTACATTCTCTGTCCCTTCCCCATGATGAATTTATATGCAGAGGTAGAACTTCAGTAAAGTTGTTATAGGGTTAATTTTCCCTGTGAACTGTACATTTGTAAAATGTCTCAAGACTCATTTTATTCAACTTCCTATACCATAGCAGATATTCAAAAGCAATTTCTTTTCCATTTAGGAATAAGAATGGTTGGAAAATATGTGGGAGAAATTTTCAGCGCATCGCTAGCCCTTCCTTCCTTGTATTGGCAGTCAGAGAGAAAAGCACTGGAGGGACTCAGTCTGGTTCTGAAGCTGAGATTATGGCTGCCCTAGGGCCACCTAGTGAGTTCATAGTAGAAGCAAGTTTCCACCTGGGGACTTCCTGATTCATAGCTCAATTGCTTAGGCACTGCAGTACACGAGCTGCCTTTTAACACCAGATTTTGTACACATATGCCAGTTGCTGTAATTATAGTGTAAACAATTGTCACAAAATTTGCTATAAATATTTACAAGAAGAGTGGGAGCAGGATTTTAAATTTAACAGTAAAGATAATAGTACAGCAGTGGTTGGTTTATCCTACAATATTTCTTCCCTTCTGGTATACATTTCTTCTCTTCTATAGTGTTCCACACTTTGAATAATTTTCAGGTGTAGTCACTACCCCTAAAAAGAGGATATTGCAGAATTGGAATAAGTGCAAAAGGGGGCAACTAAAATGATCAGTGGTTTCCTGTGAAGACTCATATGAGGAAAAGTTGCAACATCACAGAAAAAGGATGATATGATAGAAGTGTACAAAATTATACATGGTGTGGAAAAAGTTTATAGGGAGATATGTTCTTTCCCTCCCATAATACTAGAATCTGGAGTCATTCCATGAAGGTGATTTCTGGGAGATTCCGGGCAGATAAAATGAATACATAGTTCACACAACATATAGTTAAACTATGGAATTCACTTCCACAAAATGCAGTGATGGCCACCAATTTGGATAACTTGAAAGGGGAATTGGACAAAGTCATGGAGAAGGCTGTCAGTGGCTACTAGTCCTGATGGCTATATGCTACTTCTAATATCACAGGCAGTATACCTATATGCATCAACTGGAAAACATGGGTGGGAAGGTGTTGTCACACTCATTTCTTCCTTGTGTGTATCCTGTGAGCATTTGATTGTCCATGATGTGAACAGGATGACGGACTAGATGGACCTTTGATATGATCCAGAATGACTGGATCTTATGCTCTAATATCCTTTCTTTCCACACAGGATGCAGAGCAGGTTCACACATTGTGAAAATCTTGTGCATGAAGTGGGCAGATGGACCATTTGTGTACAAGATTTGTGATAGAGCAAAAGAGAAGGTAGGAATTTAGCTGGTGTTTATATATCTGGCCTTGAATGATCTGCTACCCAGTCATTATTTGTCCACATGTTTAGGAGTCATGACTTCGAAGCCCCATTTCCCCCTTCTCTCCATTTCTTCCTGAAAGGATCGACAGAGCTCTTCTAAGCTGATATACATCAGTATTACTATTGCCAGATTCAGTTGTAGTCCTGAGAACAAAATGCCTTGTCAAAATTGAGTATGCTTGGCACATCAGCTTCCCCAGTACATAGCAACCTTCTGGTCAGGATTCAACCATCTTCCATGTATACAGATTAGAGTCCCCCTAATAGGTCTTTAGCAGGTATAGATTGGAAATATCTCCTAGTTCTCTCCTTTTACTTTCACTTTGCTGGATTGTTCAAGGATATCAATGGCCCCTTTCTTCCTGTGTTTATGCTGAACATTCTCTGCCCCAAGTGTCAAAGCGCCTCCTACAGAGGTGTCCCAAGGCCACATGGCCATGCTAGATTAAAAGATCTATCTCCCACATCAAGCCCCTCCCCTGATTCTAATGAACTCTGTTCCTTATGAAAATGTGTGCTCTGCTGAATATGATGAGCGATATCTGTTCTTCACAAGTTGAACTGAGATCCTCTTAACAGTTGCCCACCATAGGGTACTTTGTAAGTAAACTATTTTGTTTCATTTGCTTGTTACCTATCAGTGGCCCCAGCTCCCAAATCCCTTTGACTGTACACTTCTGATACCTGAAGCATCCATGTCAGGCCTCACCTTTATGCTATGCTTTTTGACTGAGGGGGGTTCAAAGGCTGCAGTTGCTCAGCAGTGACTAGGGAGTTGCCCCTTTGCCCAGCAACATCAGTAACCTGCAGGTCCTAGAGTTCCTCTTACTCGGGACTTCATGAATTGAGAAGTGGTGGCAGACATAAACTGAGAGTGTTGCAGGCTGACCACAGCTTGTCTCTCTAGTGCATGGCCTGTCCTGCCTAGCAGTAAGGCATGTTTTCTCCTCTGACTGGAAACTAAAGTTGGAAAGAAGGAGGGGGATGTAAAATCTATACTGTCCTCTTTGTGCACACCCATGAAGCTTAGCAGCTCAGCAGCTAGGGAACGGGCACTCATGCCTTACTTGAGGGTTTCTCCGAGGCAGCTAGTTGGCTTCAGTGAACAAAATGCTGGGCTAGATGGACCCTAAAGCAGAATGC